CAGAGTGCCTGGTCTGCAGTAAGCACCCTGCAAAGATGTGTGTTTCATTTTCAGATACAACCAAAGCAGAGGGTGCTTGAAACTTCAGAACACTCCACCCAGCACCCATGCTTTAGGTTAATAAAGATGGCTTGTTTAGAAAAAAGTTAAAATCAATATAGAACAGTGAGTTTATTAGAAGGATCAGTTTAGACAGGCATGGTATAATCTCAAAGACTGAGAATTCTAGCTCCCCAGGACTTTCTAATAAAGGAAAATAAATTGTATTTCAGTCATTTTCTCTCTTACTCTACTGCCCTCTCTGGTTTTTGATACTGGGTCCTACTTTGTAGCCCAGATTGGCCTGGAAATAGCAATGTTCCTGTGTTGGTCTATTCCAACCATCTTAAGAGCTTTATGCTGAGTCTGAGACCTTGTATTCATGACCAATTCATGCTCATAGTTTTGGGTTCCTGAAAAGACACAGGCCAGCTCTGTTTGACAGACTGACCAGGGATTGTTTTTCCACAGAGTGTGGATTGCACACCAAACAACCATGAACAGGTGAATAAAACAGCCCGTGTTAAATTCAAGGATGGTTTCAAGCTTTTTAGTACTGCTCTCTTGAGAAGCAGAGCCACATACCCTTCCTTGCAGCTTTTGTGATGCTTGACTGAGGGATATAGCAGAAGTGAGGTTCTGGGACTTCCCAGGCTGGACTTCCTAGAAGGTCTACTCCTGGAACATCAAGTGGGGCATCTGGCTATGTGCAGGGGACCAAAGACAACATGGACAGTCACAGATCTTCTTTTAAAAGATTGCGTGTGAGGGAGGCCCTTTTGGATCTTCCAACCTATTTGTTGGCCAGATAGATATCACTTGATAACCTCCATTGACACTGTATGGAACAGAAGAATCATCCAACTGATTCCAAACCAAATTCCCATCATAAAGTCAAGGTCTAGGTCTTGGATGCTTTGTGATATATCAATGGAAGGTGGATACACACACAGATGGATTGTCGGACTCAAGCCCAGAGGCCAAACCAGCTGCTGATCAAGGGTGTTAGCCATGGTTCAGTCAACCCACCTGTGTGGCACAGATGAGACTCCGGGAAATATGTTTCTAAGGGCATCTGTTCTAAATGTTTTCAATGAAACTGAATACTTATCTTTGTGAACACTGGCTGCACACCAGTGGTGCCAATGTGCCTCTCAGCCTGGTGAGTGCCAGGAGCACCAGCGAACTGTCTGGATATGGAAGCTATTGCAATGTTTATGGGGTCAGCCTGGGGACAGACCGGCATGATCTATATTCTTCAAAGGTTGCAGCTTGGTACAAGGATATGTGAACTCAAGTGATTAAACCTATACGGTGAGAGGTGACTATCTCTGGGAAAGCAGTGGGTTAGGTTTTTGGCTGTTCTTGAAATGGAAAGTGATTGTGATTTTGTTGGGTGTGTGTGTGGGGGGGGGGCGTGTACCCTAATCCTAGCAAGCTGTTTTCTTGGCTTTGTGCTATGGAGCAATTTGAAAGTGTCAACATGTTTTCAGTATTTTTCAGTCACTCAAGTCCCCAGCTGATTATCTCTTAGATTCATGGTCCAGGAGCTCTTGTCTTTCTGGGAGAGGTTTCACCTTGAAAGCTGGTGCCCAGATTCAGAAGGAAGGCGCCTCTCGCCACAGCAGCAGGAGCAAACAGCTTAATTGCAGCTTAGCTCCACAAGGACCAGGTGTTTTGGAAAATCACTGATGGTCTAACTCTGAGACAACCCAGATTCACTTTACCTTGTCTCACAGAAACAAAACACAACCTCCCCTGCAAGCAGAAAAACAAAAACAAGCCCTTTCAGAAACTGTATCCTCCCAACTAAAGAGATACCTAGACTGCTCAGACCTGTGGATAAAGACACACACATAAACATAATACACAGCACACACACATCACACAGACACACACACACAACACAGATACACGCACAACAAACACAACACACACACCACACATACACAGACACACACAACACACAGGTGATACACACACAACACATACACAGACACACAACACACAGATGATACACACACAACACATACACACACAACACACATACAGACACACACATAACACACAGACACACAATATACACACACACATACAACACACACACACACACACACACACACACACACACACACACACACACACACATTTACTTAAGACAGAATTTCTCTGAAAGGAGCCCCAAGAACCTGATAACAATGGTTTCTTTGAGGGAGAATTGGGGAACTGGAGAAAACTGGGGTGGACAGTTGATAGAGGAGGAAAGCTTATTTTCATGATAACCCCTTTGAACACCTAAAAGCTCACCCCCTCACTATACTAGCTCATCATAATAATGTATGTGAACCACGCAAACCTGGTTAGCACACTGGTAGTGTGTTGTGTTCTCTGTGTATTCACACCTTCAATCCTTATGGCAGCTTTATAGTGCAGACATCATTATCCTTCTGATTTTATAGATGAAGAAACTGAGGTAGACACAGGTAGGTAAGTTGTTCAAGGTCACGTAGCTAGTAAATGCACAAGTGGGATCAAGAGTCAGAATGTCTGGGCCTGGAGTCTTTCCTCTTTACCACATAACATTGCATTTCCAGAAATCAAGCTCCTCCTCAGCTACCACGACAGAGCTGGGATAGAAACAACTGTTCTTTTCTCAGTTGATTCTCGAGAGCAATAGGCGTAGAGGTGATGGTGTCCTAAAATAACCCACAAACAACTCCTTGACAGCCTCAAGTCCGAATAGACTTTCAGGGGCTTTACAACTGAGCCTTAGTGACCATGATGTGCTGGGTGCTCTGCTAGGCCTTGGGGACAACTGCTGAATGGCACAGCACCCATGTTCTCAAGAACCTTGGCCTTAGGAAACAACCAGCGGGACTGCAAGAGGTGCTGTAAAGAGAACAGAACGGGAGCATGCACAGGTGAGGGGTAGAGGCCCTGACTTGTGCTGGGTGGTCAGAGGGCTGAGGAGAGGAAGGGAGGAGGGCAAGGAAGGTAGGACCTGGGTGGAGGGAAGGAATAATGTCATCTGGCAGTAGGAACAGCAAAGAGGTGAAACTGTTGAGAGCAACTATCTGAATATGGGGCCCTGCATACCTAAACAAAACAAGTCCAACTGAGTTTGCAGTGAGAAGCATATCCCGGGGACTGTGGTGAGGGTTTCAGAGTTTTCCTAAGAACCCTGGTAAGCCACTAAAGCTTGTTAAGTAGGGGCTTACACAATCCAGTTGACTTTTAATGACAACCTGGCTGCTGTGTGGGAGACAGGGGGAAGCTATGCAAGAGGACCAGCTCTAAAGCTGCAGAGGAAGCAAGAAGATGGCTCAAAGAACATGATGGTAAAGGGTGAGCAGGAGGTACATTTGGGATCTCTGTTGGTCATACAATACTCCATGGAAGGAGAATGATGCGGCGCTGTGGTGGATCATAAACTCACAAGCATGAAAATGCTGTCAACTGTAAAATGTCCAATAAAGAAAAGTGCCATGATAGATGAAGATGCCAGATTCTAGAGACCCTAACACGCCCAAAGTCACATGGCTGCATAGTGGCAGGAGGTAGGACTAAGTGAAAATGATCCCTTCACTCCTTTCACTGGGGATGAAAGAAAAGAAGGTTGGTGGTTGTGTCTATTTCCCTTATCAACTAGACCACTGGGTGAACAGAGTGATGATATCTCTGCTGTTCAGAGGCAGGTGGATCTCTGGGAGTTCGAGGCCAGCCTGGTCTACAGAGTGATATCCAGGACAGGCTCCAAAACTACACAGAGAAACCCTGTCTCGAAAAACAAAAAACAAAAAACAAAAAACAAAAAACAAAAAACAAAAAAAAAAGAACCAGGAGTGGGAAGCATCGTGACAACTCTGCTCTAGAGTTAGAATGGGTGCTTTGGAACTGAAATGAAATGGGATGTGACCTGTGGTCCTCACTTACTCTGAGGAGATGCTTGTGTCCGATGGGATAGACAGGGCTTGGGGAGCTGGTCTTTGGATGCCCAGTTGTCCTTTATACCATGTAAATTTTGAGTACCTCTAGCTTGGAAAGACCATGGCAGAGGTAAATTTTTGCTAAGACCTCTGATGTATGCAACATCACTGATAATCAGATCTCCCGTGTCTGTTCAGTGACATGTGCCTACTTCTTAGTCTATTTCTGTCCTACGATCCCTTCCTTGGGAAGGATGATGAGATTCAGGAGTGGAAGGGTAGACTTGGCTGTATCTGACCCCTGACTTGTGGCAGAGCACTGATCACTTATTTAGTTATAGCAGATATCTACCCACTACAAGAATCATATTTAGGATATCTATGCACTGAAGAAAAAAGGTAGATTTGGCTTTGTGACTAAGTAAAACTGAAAGGACATAATACTGGGTTCTTTGTGATAGTTCTTACAGTTGCCCTGGGGGGTGAACCAGGCCTTTTGGGTCCTTGGTGACTGGTCCCAAGGAGTTACACTGGACTTTTTGAATGCTAGATGCTACCTCCACCCAACGGCCAAAGAAATAGGTACCATGTCACTGGTCTTCAGAGAACCTCATTCCCTAAATCATGCATAGTCCTCCCAGGAAGAGAGTTCTTTTTCCTATTCTTTTTAAGGTACACAATTTATCTTCACACACAACTTTGTTTTCCAAGTGATAAAGGGAAATACTGGATGAAAGGGAGACCTTTCTGTCCCTGCCTCATAACAAACTGTGATTATGCCAGAGGCATCAAAAGACAGAATCAGCACGTGGAACTCATATTCTACTCCTGGCATAAAACCACCCTGCCAGGAACTGAGCAGTGGTGAATAAAGCACATGGCAGAGTCAAGGTTTCCAATAACGACGTTAACCAAGAGGAGTCTGATAGATACGTGTAACCTCAGCATACACATGCTTTTTTTTTTTTTAAAGCGAAGTATTCGACATCCTCCTCTCCCCAAAGCAACGATCCCAAACCAAAGCCTGATGGTTACCTTCAGCGAGTGGGTCAAGGGTGTGTATCATGAGCTGGAAGATGCTATTCCTCATAAGACTGTTGTGGAGGGAGGCAGAACTTCCACCTCGCTGGAGGCGCGGCTTAGCCTGAGCAGAGAAACCAAAGATGCTGTTAGTTCTCAGAAATGAGAGGAGCCTCATCCACCCTATGGTCAATCATTTCCATTACATGATCATAAACAGTTGAACCAAAGAATTTCAAAGTACATTTCAAACATCCCAAGGAAATAGCTTTTCTACTAAATGAATCCATTTTTCCCACCCCTGCCCCCTTTTGACAAAAGAAGTTAATACAAGGCAGGCAATGTGTGGCATGCTTCACACCATTCACTCATTTCATTCTCAGAATGAGCCTCATGAAATCCGTATTGTTAGTATTAACTTGAAGTCTCTGAGAAGCGAAATGAGGTTCTGGGTCATACAGACAGAAAGTGTTGGATAGAGGTGGGGATTCCAGGCCTGCTTTTCTTAATGACTCTTTATAACGGAGCAGAGAGTCTTTAAAATTTTTGGATTGTGCATCCTATCAGCAAGATCTTTGCTTCTTTTTGTGTTTATGACAACAGATGTGCCTACACCCATATTATCTCACACATCTGCTAGCCTCTGATCCAGAAAGCTCCGTGGTCCACATTAAGTGAGAACCTGAAGGCAAGTTTCCTGTTGTGGCTCCATACAGAGACTTCCTGGCTCCTAGTTGTGATCTTTTACTCCAGTAAATGGGACTGAGATATGAAGACCCCTAGTGAGCTTCAGGAGAGAGGGTCACCAACAGACTTTTACTCTTTTCTTCAAAAGCAAACAGTCTTAAATCAAACCAAAGTCACCCAAACCCTCTTTGTATGGACAGCTTTTAAATCCTGACTAGAAATGACTTTCTTCTTTGTGGTTGACTTCTTGGTGGTGACCACAGGGGAATTATAGACAGACTTGAGGAGGATGGCTGCTGAAAGTAGACTAACAAGACAGGGTTTCTCTGTGTAGTCCTGGCTGTCCTAGAACTCACTCTGTAGACAAGGCTGGCCTTGAACTCACAGACGTCTGCCTGCCCCTTCCTCCTGAGTGCTGGGATTAAAGGCATGTGCCACCACGTCTGACTTAGATTACTTTTTTTTTTTTTTTTTTTTCCGAGACAGGGTTTCTCTGTGTAGCTTTGCGTCTTTTCCTGGAACTCACTTGGTAGCCCAGGCTGGCCTTGAACTCACAGAGATCCACCTGGCTCTACCTCCCGAGTGCTGGGATTAAAGGCGTGCGCCACCACCGCCCGGCTACTTTTTTTTTTTTTTTTTTTTTTTAAATTTAACTCTTGGTCCAAAAATTTGACAAGAAAATTTTCTGTGGTCTGGCAAAATTAAAATCCCGTTTTCACCAAGTCTTCCAAACTTCTCCACACAGATTTTTCCACGAGACTCCACAATTAAACACATTTGGACAGGGTGATGTCTTTTAGAACAACTCATCTTTGGAATATTGTAACACAAAAGAAATAAGGTTCCAAGTTATTGACCTTACATCTCTTACTCCAGAAAATACTTATTAAGGGTCATGGTTCAAAAATTTGGTGGTCAACCTAAATAACCTGTTGCAAGACTGAAGTATGAGTAAAATACCAGTATGGAATACAAGTAGAAATCAGCAGTGATTTTATTATAATTCATATCCTTTAAAACTGTATTCCCAACTTTTCAGAGTTCAGCAATGAATGAAGAATACTGGTGTCTTAGTAATGAACAGCATTTTGAGCTTTTCAAAGGCAGCCTGGAGTTTGAGCTGGTCTTGAGTCTAGTGTATCCTCTGGGTGTCAGTGAATGTCATATCTTTGCTCTGAGTGTTAATGGAAGGAAATATTACAGGGTCACAAACATTTTCATGGCTATCCCTTTCATCCTTAAAAGCCTGTAACATTTTAAAATGCACTGTGGCATTTAGTTGTAGGGGATTCAGATAAGCAAGGTTGAAAATGTTCTAGGGGCAAAGGTAGCAGACTTAAATCCAGTGGAAATGTAATAACTGTTTGTTGAACACGAAAACTCACAAGGTCATTTCCTTGTGAGGCAGCACAATATGAAATGTCATGTGTTAATTGGAGAGCAACTGAAAATGTGGTCGTTGTTAGTAATTTGTCATAATAACCACTGTTAGTATCGTTGTTATTCTGGAAAACCACGAGAACTCTGTTGTGTGTATCTTCTTTAGACCTGAATTATGTCTATGGAAGACACTAAGCATTCTTTCAGGTAGTGTTGGGTGTACTGAATATTTACATCTCATGCAGCATTTCAGAGAGGTTGTGCATGCAGACACATAAAGAAAACATTTCTCAAGCATTAGATCCCACACTGTCCCCACATATCAGCCAGCATCCCTTGGAATGTAGTTTAGACATTTCTTACCCCTTTACACTTATAAAAGTTTGTGTCCAATGGAAGAAAGAATTCAAGATTTTGAGACATAAGACCAGAAATAAGTAATGAGTGAGTGCCAGAGTTCAATTGTTACTAAGTGTAGAACAGAAATACAACCCCCCTCTGGTGGAATAAACCACAGGTATTCCAAGGGAGAGGAAGATTTGCAAGCATAGAGCTCCCTCCCACCCTGGCCACACATTCTCCACAGGCACAGGAACAGGCAGGGCTACTGCTCCCTACCGGTAAAGCCGGGTCTTCCTTGTCCCCTGCTGTAGACGACTGCATAAGAGGAAAAGGCAAAAACAAAAGACAAAGAAATAAATAACAAATCCCACACAGCCTTTACATTTAATAACAATCACCAATATAGAGATGGTTATTTCTACTTCTGGTATGAGTGAAGTCCAAGTAGGGGCACACAGTTAATTTTTTTTTCCAGATATATGCCCCATTCCCTTGAAAAGTCAAACTTGAATTTCCAACTCTGATGTCTAGTAATAAAGGGCAGTGAAATCAACTATGGCACAGCCATGCAGTGGAATACCATGAAATCATTAAAATACATGAGATGAATTCACACATACTGAAATGGAAATACATGAAGTGCAAAAATATTTTTAAAACCATATTTATTACTTTGCTTTAACAAAGGTAAGTAAGTACTATCTTAGTGTATGTAAAGAAAAAGATTCTTCAAGAATTAGTGTTATGAATGGCTATTGTTGGGTGATGGGATTACAAGGAAATGCCACTTTTTATGTTTTGGAGGGAGTTTATATCCATTGCCCCATACATGGTGAATGAAATAATATCCGAGGAAATTAGGCCATGGATTAAAGACCAGGATTATCACACATGGAACCCAGACAACCCACCCTTTCTCCTCTCCCTGACATTTTACAATGGAACCCAGACCACCAACTCCTTTCCCTATCCCCACCATTTTACAATGAAACCCAGACAACCAACTCCTTTCCCCATCCCCACCATTTTACAATGGAACCCAGATAACCCATTCCTTCCCCCCTCCCCACTATTTTACAATGGAACCCAGACAACCAACCCTTTCTCCTGTCCCCACCAATTTACAGTTCCTATTCTACAACAGAAATCTCCGTTCAGGTAGGAAATGTTGACTAGAACAGAAGGCACATAAAGGTCAGGTCATCCACCTGGGAAGAACACCAGACAAAGAGACACTGAAATTCCATTGGTGTGACCCAACTGGATGACTTTGCTTCCCCAACTCAAATGGTATTTCCTTCTTATATAGAGTGGGGGCCATTCTGGGGCCTTTCTAGTGATGTACAGGTGCTTTGTAAGCTCCACAAGCTCCACTGCCCCTGTCATTTTACCCCAACCATGGGTGGTTACAGCAAGAACAAAGCAGAACCTCAACCTCCTTCCCCTGGGCAACCTCTGGTCCTTCGCAGGGAGTCTAAGCAGACATGAGTCTGTGGTAATAATAATATATGTGAAGAGGGGTGCAGGGCTGTTCAAAAAATCTTCACCAGCTGCATACTCTCCAGTTTTAGGTCCTGCACACACGTCATATAAAGAATGTTATGTTTCCATATTCCACATGCAATGTGTTCCCCTGTGGAAAAGATGGAGAGGATACTTTGAAATAGAAACGGCTGGCTATGTGCCACTTATGATTGGCATGCTCAAAATCTTGGAAAATAAGAAAATTAAATCCACACTTGGTTCTCATGTGTGATATAACAAGATAAGTTTTGATCTTTAAAAATATATTTATTTTATGTGTATGGGTGTTTTGTATGCATGTATGTCTGTGTATCATGTACATGCATGGTGCCCTCAGACGTGGGTGTGGGGTCCCCTGGGACTGGAGTTATAGACAATTGTGAGTCACAATGTGGGTGCTGGGGACTGAACTGAGGTCCTCTGGAAGAACAACCGGTGCTCTTAACAGCTGAGCCATCTTTCCAGCTCTATGTGTGATATAATTTTTAAGAGTAATAAATTTGTTACTTAATAAAGTTGATATTAAATATTTCATAGACATTCAATCAAATATTTAATGATCTTTAATTTTGTTGAAATGCCTTTTTGGACCCTGGAATCAATGGAATGTATGTCCCCTTCTGTTTCCAAACATTGTTAGAGATCCATGTAGAACTTGTATGTGTCAAACACAGACAGACAGACGGACAAGTTCTGGATTGGTGATAATTTCCCAGCACAGCCTGTGGGTATCAGTAAATTTGCCATAACTTGTTCTTTGGGGGTTATCTCTCAGTGACATCTTGAAAAGTACCATAAGAAACGATCTCGGATGCCCTAGTTGCCAAGAACAAGCTTGGAAATGGAAGTGGACCGGAAGCTGTCCTTTGATTTCTCTCTCTGCTCTGAAAGGCGCTCTGTGAGCCCGTTTCTCAAAGGCAAGTTCTTTGTTCTTCCACATCAGACAGCTCAACACATGGATCCACATTCTACAGAGTAACCCTTGGGGGAAACTTTCCAGCGCAGCCAGCTCAGCCTTTGGACCTACACGGAGACGAGCTGCCAGAGCACGCCTTTACAGTTAGCAAATTTATACCTTGTGGCTAAACGGGGAGCAAATAACGATGAGCCCGACTGATACCCCAGCTATAGCACAGAACATAAAGGAACAGAATGAAACCAAGGAAGAAGAAAGGGCGGGCTTTCGAAGAGCAAAACTCCTCAGCCAAGGGTTTGAATTTTTAAAAGTGTATGTAACGAAATTATTTGAGGAAGAAAAAAAAATATCCCAAACTACATTTTGGCCTGAATGAAAGAAAAAAAAAATTTTTCCTCACTGATTTTTTTTTCTCTTACAAGCTAGAAGGATCATAAAGTAAGGAAGCTGAAGGAACACGCCCAGCACAGATTCTGTACAGGGAAACCTCTGGAGCCTTTTCAAGATGTCCTGCTGTGTAATGTCAACAGAAGTTGATAGCGTTCATTTTCTTTCAAGTCTGATTTGCAGACATGAACATGCATCAGGTTCGTAATGGCGCGTAAATGTAGGTGACACAGAAAAGTGTGACATGTGATCAAGACCATGTCCCGCCCTGTGGCGATTGCTGGTGCTCACCTCACTTAGGCTCCCAGTCCTGATGGTGCATTACTGACTGAGTTTGGAATTCAATGGTGAAGGTAAACAACTGGAAAAGAAACCGTGTACGGTTGTGTGCCATGTGTATGGCCAACGGGTTGACGTTGGTGTCACAGATTTATTTTCAGGGCTATAGAACACCTGAGAAGTTTATTGTGTTGTATGTTAAACAAGACTTCAATCTTGGTGTTCTTATAGTGCACTTTAAAAAGTATACATTTTAACACAGTTCATTGTCTTTTGATAATATATCAATACTATCAATTCTGACTGCACTAACTTGAAAGCCCGGTTCCTGTGGTCAGTTCAAAGACTCACGTACAGGAGAGGTCTGTTTAGCCAGTCTGTAGCACACACAGCGATTCTCCAGCTTATTTAAGAGACTTCCTAGAGGACATCCTGAAGGGGCTTAGGTGACCAAAGCAGGCCCCTCTATCCTACAGTAACAGGAACCAACCAGGCCAGGGTGTTGGAAAGAATTCTGCAATTCAATTTTTTTATCTAATGTAAATGGGTCCCTCCAGCATTACTCTGAATTAGTCATGTGGCGACTGCATTGAACTCAAGCAACTGGAATCATACAGTATCTAATGTCTTTCTTAGAGAAAAGTGCTACTTGCACATGGGAATTTTATTAGCTACTTATGTTTTGAAAGTGCTCTGCCCCTAGATGATAAAACCTATTACCTGTTCAGAAGAATTTTAGATAGAAATCCCCCTCAAATCTTTAAATAGTTTTTGTTTGTTTGTTTGTTTGTTTGACCCTGAGAAGTCACTGGCTGGGAAATGGTTTCACTGTATGGCACATGCAGTTTTGATGTAACTCTATACACAGCTTTACTGCTCCTCCATTCTTTTCCTGGCACATGAAAATGAGAAAATGAGGCAAATATTGCATAGTCCAACTTCTTTGGACCACACAGTGAGACATGCCTGTGGTTCACTCTGACTTGCAATTACTTGCAAATTATACAACCAAGTTGGTCACCATAAAGACTTCACATGCCAACTGACAAGTCTGGAAAATGAGAGGTGGTTTTCTGAGCCAGTGACTGGGTGTAGGACAGAGCAGAGAGAGGAGCATTCTGAATGCTGCAGCAACAGTTATTAACTTCCATTTCAAACCTTCTACCAAGTCCCATGAAACATACCAAAGACCAGGCAGCAGTATAAATAAAGGACATGTAGACAAACTTAAAGGTATTATTTTTCTGGTCATAAATGTGACCCAAGCCAGATATTCTAGAAATTAAAAGGTGAATTTGATCTTAAACTGGCATTAATTTTAACATCCCAGGATTGAGAAGGTTGAGCGAGAGGTGACTTGACTGAATGACATTTACTAAAAATGATGTATTCCTTTTCTGTCAGTGTACTTTTCTGTAACAAAACTGCATTTAAATCATCTTCCTCAGATAAAGCTAGATAACCTCAAAGCCTACTGGAAAGATGAGGTAACAGGCACAACACCTCAAACTTAAAAGGAAGGAAAGAAGCCCTCCCACCTCTCAGATGGAAACCCATCTCCTGGTCCTGCCTTCTACCAGGTACCAGCATATCCCTCAAGACACCAACAGAGGGCAACTTAAGTAATTGCTTAGCGATAAAAAGAAGAGACAAAAATTCAGATGACTTTAGACTGTGTACTCATGTCACACTCCCTGTCAATCCTTCAGGAAAGTAAAAAAAAAAAAATCCTGCCTGAAACTGGTAGCCCTGGATGACCCAATATCCATCATAGTTCTGCTTTACAGAGACATCAGATGGGGGAAAAGCTAGAAATGCCCCAAGTAAGAAAAGTTATCACAGAAGCTCATACTCCAAAAGCAAAGCCGTTTGATCATTTGTTTGAATAGATCATCTCCATCATCATGAAATATTTGGGGCAGTAGAAAGAGATCTGAAAATAGATAATCCCTGAATAGAGAGAGTAGACAATAAATTGCCTGGAGAGAGCTAGAGAACATCATTCTATTTTTTAGATTATTGTACAAGAGAAGAAATCAAGTCAGCTGAGAAGTGGTAGTACATGGAATTCAGGACCAGTGTTGGATGTTTGTGGTTTTTTTGTCCTGTCTCTTCTCAGCTATATAACCTTGAGGAAGTGATCTCATTGCTCCATGCTTTAGCTCCTTCATCTGTGAAATGGGGATAAGGATATCTGAGATATAGTGCT